ATTAAAGATGTAGCTGTGATGCTTGGTGATGATGTTGGATTAATGGTTAGAGCTTTTGCCGCTACGCTAGGAGATAAAAATGTTTTAGTCCAACGGGCTGTTCTTGAACTATTAGTCGTTAGCTTTCCGTTAAAGGTTAAGAATGTCGGAGAGTATGTATTCTATTGGTTACTTTTTAGAATTTATGCCTTTGAAATAATCATTTTCCATGACTTTATTTAGAATTATACAACAGGATGATTTTGTTTTATTAATGAAATCTGTTGCATCGGTCGTGCTGCGAAAAGATATGTCGTTAAATAGAAGACTTTATGCATGGCTCCTAGGACCAGATGAGCATATTGAACAACAGATAAAGCATTTTCATGACTATGGAAAGAATGCAATGGTTTCTGCCCTAAAGGTATCATTACGAAATATTATTTATATATTTTATAATTATCTATAATGCGAAGGAATTGATCAAATGTTTGCAGTAGAGCGTGTTCTAATCCCTCTTTTTTGTTTTTTTTTTCGAAATGGATAGGGCTTATTCTTTACACAATATAACGATTTAGTTACAGCACAAAGGCCATACAAAATTTTGATCTCACTGATGGATAAGGAGGAGATTGGGCAGCCTCTGGTGCAAGATTTACTTATCGATGTATTATGGTCATTGAAAGATCACATTGAAAAATCATCCTTTGGAACAGAAGTGAGCAATGTTTATTATTTTGCCATTTTTCATTGATATGATATTTAACTGATAGATTTAATATATTTGCTATTCAAGTTATTACAAACGGCCAATATGTTCTTAGAAATGATTGACCCATATTTAATATGGATGAAGTTGTACGAATTAGTTCAAAATCGATTTTCATTAAACAATGGTTTAGACACAGCGGTTAGTACTAATGCCTTTATCTAGCCTAAAATCAACATTAAAACTGATTTTCACACTTACATATATATATTGATATAGGCATTGGAATTGATAGGATTTGTATTAACATCTTTTAAATTACACGAGGAAGAAATTGAAC